TAAGTGAGGAGAATAAAGATCAGAGAATTAAGTGATTTGTCTAAGGTTACAACTGCTACAGACCCAGAACTTATTCCCCATTCATCTAATAATCTAAGGAAGTATGGAGGTCATTAGTTAAATTAAAGATGACTTAGGAAATGTGCATGTTACATTCATTTCCATTTGTTTAGGAGGGGCCTTTCAACATACTTTTATATTTCCCCTGAAATAAGTCCTTTTCCTTCTGGTTCATTGCCACTATCTTTAATGTAGTATCTCAGGTATCATCTCAGACCTCCAATACCTCATGTCTTTTTTTTTTGATTTAGAGACAGGGGTCTCACTGAATTGCTTAGGGACTTGCTGAGGCTGGCTTTGACGTGTGATTCTCCTGCCTCAAACTCCCGAGTTGCTGGGATCACAGACATGTGCCACTGCTCCTGGCATACCTCATTTTTTTTTTAAACTAGCTATACATGACAACAGAATGCATTTCGACTTATTGTACACAAATGGAACACAACCTTTCATTTCTCTGGTTGCATTACAATGCAGAGTCACACCATTTGTGCAATCATACATGTATATAGAGTAATAATGCCCATCTCATTCCACCATCTTTTCCACCCCCAAACCTCCTCCCCTCCCCTCAATCCCCTCTGCACAATCCAAAGTTCCTCCATTCTTCTCTTGCCCTCCCCCGCCTCCCATTTTGGATCAGCATCCATTTATCAGGGAAAACATCTGGCCTTTGGTTTTTGGAGACTGGCTTACTTTGCTTAGCATGATATTCTCTAGCTCCATACCTTTGCTTGCAAATGCTATAATTTCATTCTTCTTTAAGGCTCAGCAATATTCCATGGTGTATATATACCACAGTTTCTTTATCCATTTATCTATGAAAGGGGCATCTAGGTTGGTTCCACAGTTTAGCTATTGTGAATTGAGCTGCTATAAACGTTGATGTGGCTGCAACACTGTAGTATGCTGATTTTAAGTCCTTTGGGTATAAACCAAGGAGTGGGATAACTGGATCAAATGGTGGTTCCATTCCAAGTTTTCTAAGGAAGCTCCATACTGCTTTCCAGTGTGGTTGCACCAATTTGCAGTCCCACCAGCAATGTATGAGCATACTTTTTCCCCTACATCCTCACCAACACTTATTGTTGCTTGTATTCTTGATAGCTGGCATTCTGGCTGAAGTGAGATGAAATCTTAGAGTAGTTTTGATTTGCATTTCTCCAATCGCTAGATATGTTGAACATTTTTTCACATATTTGTTGATTGATTGTATATCTTCTTCTGTGAAGTGTTGGCTCAGTTCCTTAGCCCATTTATTGATTGGGCTATTTGTTTTTTAAAATTCTTTATAAAATATTCTGGATATTAGTATTCTATCTGATGTGCATGTGGTGAAGATTTTTTCCCATTCTGTAGGCTCTCTCTTCATGTTATTGTTTTCTTTGCTAAGAAGCTTTTTAGTTTGAATTGATCCCGTTTATTGATTCTTGATTTTATTTCTTGTGGTTTAGGAGTCTTGTTAAGGAAGTCAGGTCAAGCCAACATGGTGAAGATTTGGGTCTGCTTTTTCTTCTATTAGGCACAGGGTCTCTGGTCTAATTCCTAGGTCCTTGATCCACGTTGAGTTGAGTTTTGTGCAATGTGAGAGAAAGGGATTTAATTTCCTTTGCTTCATATGGATTTCCAGTTTTCCCAGCACCATTTGTTGAAAAGGCTATCTTTTTTCCAATGTATATTTTTGGTATATTTTCTAGTATGAGATAACTGTATTATACCTCTGTTTTGACTACTATTTTTATTGTTATTCCTCTCTTCAAAAATTAATTCAAGTACTCTTCATTATTTAAAAAAACAGTACAAAGCACTGTGTTCAGCTCCATTTGCAATCTTTTTTTGTTGTTTTAAATAAATTTTTTAGTTGTCAATGGATCTTTTATTTAATTTATTTATTTATATATAGCGCTGAGGTCAGAACCCAGGGTCTCACACATGCCAGGCAAGTGCTCTACCACTGAGCCACAACTCCAGCCCTCCATTCATAATCTTATATCCCTTTTCACAATGAATTTTCTTTTTCACAAAACTGGGTATATTCTAGATCTATATTATACTCCCACTTTTTTTGGAAACATTTTTAATAGACCCAGGTAGAATGCTCTTTCAATTGATTACTTATCTCAATTCTACCTACACCTTTTTTTTTGGTACTGGGCATTGAACCCAGGGTCTTGAACATGCTGGACAAGTGCTCTACCACTGACCTACATTTCCAGCCCTTTTAAAATTTTATTTGAGACAGATCCCACTAAGTTTCCCAGGTGGCTTTGAGCTTGTGATCCTCCAACCTCAGCCTCCCTATTAGCTGGGAGTGCACCAATTGCCTTCCTATTTTTTACATGAAATTTCTACTGACTTCTTATATCTGGAAAAGTTCTTTCTCTCCCGAATTCCTACATAGAAATTAATGTCTCTATATAGTTCATTTGGTATGGTTTTATGGCACGGTATCATCAACTCTATTTTTTCTTATGTCTCTGCTATAGTTTGAATGTGTTTCCCCAAAATTCATGTATTAAAAACTTACTCTTCAAATTCATGTTAATGGTATTTGTAGGTGGAACCTGTGGGAGATAATTAGGGTTAGATGAGGACATGAATGTGGGGCCTCCATGATGGTTTTATAAGAAGAAAAAAAGCCCTTAGCTAGCAAGCTTGCTCTTTAACCATGGGTTGCCCTCTGCCATGTTATTATGCAATAAGGCATCATCACCAGATGCCTCATGCCATGTTCTTTGGCTTCCCAGTCTCCAAAATCATGAGCCAAATAAAATTTTCTTCATAAATAATCCAGTCTCAGGTATTTTGTTATAGCGATAAAAAGCAGGTGAAGACAGTACAAACCTTTTTCTGACCAAGTTTATTTTTATTTTTGGTAGTGCCCTTATTGCCTAGGCATTGCCATGAATATTTGTAGATTGTTTGCTTTAAAATAAAGATGCGACCAATGAACATCTTCATTGCTGGAGTCAGAAACTGTCACCTAAGCTGGCAGTTTTAAGCTTCTGGAGCCTTTCTTACCAAAGGACTGTATTAAGGCTTGAGGTAGACTGAAGAATTGAGAAGGCAATTTCATTGTGAGCATGGAAAGAATGTTCCAGATGTCCAAATCTATCAACCTTTTGCATGCTCTTACTCACTGAGATTTTGAAATCTCCTTTTCCCCAAAGCTGGCTGTGGCCCCAGTTTAAACACAGGCTGCCTCAAAACACTGTGGAGTCATAGTTTACCTCAGGCAGTGTTTGGGGGGAAAAAAAAATGTTACCAGCTTCTGCCTTTCAGGGACAAAGTAAGTTAGTTATTCATGGTAAGAGCACCTTCCCGCTTCCAAATCTGGTTATCTTTTAGTAGCCACGCCCTCTAATTTAGAAGGCAGGTCCCACAGATCACATGCCAGGATTTTCTTAAATTTGGCAGTACTGCACTTGAACAAGTTAGAATCCATCTGAATAAATGGAAAAACTGAAGTAGGAACAAACGAGCTTGATTTAAGTGGTACAGCAAGGGAGGGACGTCCTCTACGGGAACGAGTCTAGGACTGGAGCAAGGGAATCTTGAGGCGGGCTGTAGATTTTCTCCACTCCAACTCCACTGCTCCCTCCAGAGACACGCCCTCCGACCCCGCGTCTCAGACCCTGTGGGACGCCAGCGCCCGCTAGCAGCCGCCGTAGGAGAGCCGCGGTACCCCGCCGAGGGAGCACCGCAGGCTCAGCGCACGACCTCACTGGCCTCTACAAGGCCCGCATGGGCGCGCGGAATCCTGGGACTTGAGGTCCGCTTTGAGCGCTCCCCCCGCCAGCCGGCATAGAGAGGACTACACTTCCCAAGATGCACTAGGGAAGGGGCCGCCGGGGCGGGGAAAGGAGGGGCGGCCCAGCCCTCTCGGGCGTCGGCGTTTCCTAGCGCCGCAATCTCGCCTAGTAACCCGTCGCAGCTGTCCCGGCAAGCCGCACTGTGGCCCCGCCCCCGGAGCCCCGACTGGAGGAAAAACCTGTCTCCCGCGGCGCCCCAGTGACGAGGCCCATCCCTGGGTGCGGGAGGCGGGGAGGGTAGGGAAGCGCAGGCAGAGGATTTCACTCGCCGGTGCGGGATCCCGGACGCGCCGGCGGCACTCGCTAGCAGCAGAGGTTAGAGGCGGAGAGAACAGGGATGCTCCGCGGGCGAGGCAGAATCTGGAGTGGGAGGAATGCAAGACTCCGCCAGGGCTGCAGCGGGTGCGGGTCGGGGTGTCCCTGCGGGTGGGCATCTCTTGCACCACGGCATAACTGTGTGTGTGTGTGTGTGTGTGTGTGTGTGTGTGTTGGGGGGCCTGCGGGCTATCCCCAGTGGTCCTACGCCCCCGTGGTCCTACGCCCCCCGCCCCCAAGTCCAGAGGCAGACCCAGGAGCCCGCGGGACCCCGTAGCTAGCACAGAGTTTCCTGAGAAGAGGTGCACGATTTTTGCCACTTGTTAATTTTTAAATTTCTCTGGACCCAGGGCATTTGTAGGTAGTGTTCTCCTACCTCCAACTGCACTAGTGCCTGGTTTCCTCTCCTCCGATTAAGAAAATCTTTTATAACGCTTGAGATTGGAGTTGCTGATTAGGGAGAACTGCTAAGTTCTTTATGGTTTTCTCAGTGGAAAGAAGGTTCAAAGAGGATACGAATTTTAATCACATACATGACAGCTAATTGGAGCATCTAAACGATGACCATTGCATGTTCGGCTGGTTTAATGGGGAAACAACAAATGTTCTTTCAAATCAGATCAACAACTACCAGCCAGCAGCATTAGGACATATTTCACATCATTATCGAGATCGATCTGAAGGGAGTAGTTGGCAATTAGGGGGGAAAACCCAACAACAAAAAACTTGGTTTAGTTTGGGGATCATTTTCTTGGACTAGGTGACTTATGAAAAAAAAAATCTGTTTCTTTCTTCCTCGGTCTCGCATCCTGGATATAGACTGTCAGTTTCGGATCCAAGGACGGTGATGGCAAAGCTTACTTGGGCTGCCTGTCAAACCCAAACTGTCACGGATTAAATCCCGCTGCCTGCTGTGAAGCCCCTGTGCACTGCAAACTTAGTGAGCGAACTGGGTAATCAGTGGTTGGATATGCAGATCTCTGACTTAAAAGGCGGGGTGACCCCCCCGAGAACATCTCCCAGGGGCCGAAGCCCGCAGGTGCAGTGAGGCGCGCGCGCGCACGCGGGTGCTGGCTCCCCCGAAGCCGCTTCGCCCCGGGGGAGGGAGCCGGGGCGCCCGGCGGGGTCTGGCTGCCGCGCACCGGCGGCGGCGGCTCGTCTCCGGCGGCGGCGGCGGATGATGGTGGCGGCCGGCGCGCTGGGCTGTGCCTGTGCGTCGCCTCGGAAATCAGCGCCCGGCGCTGCACACTGAGCCCTTGCAGGTCCGCAGCAGCCCGAGACTTGGCGAGGACAGACCCGGCGCGCAGGGGAAAAGGACCTGCGCGCAGGGGGGCCGGGGGGCGAGTGGGGTCGGCTTATCATGGCGGATCGGACAGCTCCCAGCTGCCAGCTCCGGCTGGAGTGGGTGTACGGGTACCGGGGTCACCAGTGCCGCAACAACCTGTACTATACAGCCGGCAAGGAGGTGGTCTACTTTGTGGCTGGGGTCGGGGTGGTGTACAACACCCGTGAGCACAGCCAAAAATTCTTCTTGGGACACAACGACGACATTATCAGGTAAGGGGTGAACTGGGGCGGCGGGAAAGGGTTGGGTGGAAGGATGGAAGGGTGGGAAGAAGAACGACCAGCTGGGCTTTCCCAGGGTCAGATCAGGGAGCCCCATGAAAGAAAAGATTCTCTCTGGAGCCTCATGGAATTACAGAGGGGCTACTGATCCTGGGGCTAGGGGAGAAACAGAGTGTGGGGGGGTGGGGGGGGCGGTGCAGGTGGGGAAGGAGAGATCTCTTTTTTCTTTATCCTTCCGGAAGTCTTTTTAATTTCTAAGGAGTTAAGTGTTCTGATGCTTTTTTTTGGTGGTTCATTTCTGCTACAAGTGGAAGGACTGGGTACCTTTAAACACTTCTTTCCCTGCTAATTAGGTAAATGGTAGGACCAATAGATTAACCGTGGGTATCATCTTTGGGAGGCCCCTCAGTAGGTTCATCAGCAAGCAAAGTGGATTAAAAAAAAAAGAAAGAAAGAAAAGAAAAAGGAAAGGAAAAAACACAAAGAAATTTTGCTACAGGTAATTTGGAATCTTCATCTCAGGTGCTCTGGACCTTGGAAATTTCTGCAGTGGGTGGGGAACCTTGTTCTCTAATATTTCACTTTGCCGTGTTTTAATGCCCAAAGCATATTTACACACTAAATGGATGCTTCCACAACATCACTAAGGTTATAAAAGGCTGGCAGCTGCTAGACCACAAAATCCTATCAGGCATCCCACAGACATAGTCCAGCACTGACCGCTAGAACTCCATTGGTTGAATAACCATTGTAGGGGCCTTTCCTGTTAAATTGAAGGGGACGTATTTTGATTCTTGGCCCTATCCTCTCTCTGGACCAGACACATTTCCCTCCTGCCCTTGTCAGCTTCTTGTGTGGCCAAACAAGGTGTGGTCCAGATGCTGTTCATAGGGAATCCCTTTCCGCCTTTGGCAGTTAAGGAAGATTTCCATGATGTGGGAACCTCTGCTCACAAGGAAATGACTTGCTGAGGACAGACTACAACTGACAGAGATCATATTTTTACCTTCCAAACTTGTGTGTTTCACTGATGCAGAACAACTTCCATCAGAATATTGCCACTTTTACTCTGCCTTTCACAATGAAATAAGCAATTAAATATTGTAACACCAATAGTCCTAATTTTTCATTGGGGTAAATGACTTAAAATATTAGCTCCCCCCTCCTAATATTGTGCTTATATTCCTAAGCTTTTTTTTTTCCCCTCCTGAGACCTAAAGTTGAAAACTTGTTACAGAAAACTTGTTAAAACATTAAAATCTTAATGTTTGAAACTACAGGTGTGTGTGTGTGTGTGTGTGTGTGTTTGTGTGTGTCTGTCTGTCTGTCTGTCTTTCTATACATGTCTTTTTTGAAGATTTTAAGTACTTAGAGCTCTAATGTTCTTGAGATTTGTTGGAACTTAGTAAAACTTTCTTCATGTCACATAAGACAAAATAGCTTTCTCTTTTCCTCCCTGATACGGTAATGGTTGTGACTGAGGCATCCTTACTTAGTTCTGTCCTGCAGATTTTGCCTCTCTAATTGCCAGGCTGATTATTAAAGTCACAGGTGCAAATGATTAGCAGTGACTCATGAAAAGGTTAGATGTTTAAAAATTTAAACCCATTATGTTTTTGCTCTATCTTAATGCAGTGCTTTCCATTACTACATCAAAATAAGATGTAGTCCTTTGGGGGAAGGGAGAGAGTGGCAAACAGAAAATTCCCTGGGGTTAAATAGTATTAATGTGACAGTTCAATGAACTACTTGGAGAATTTGAACTCTTAATCCTCATTCTTTCTCTAATAGGGGAAAAATTAAAGGCACCATTGAAACTAAAGGTGGGAAAAGGGTGGAGTTGCAGTAGACTGTTGTTATGATGAGCAGTTGAGCTAGTGGGGCTTCAAGGCTATCAGGCTTGGATGATTACAGAAACACTCAGAATTGAGGGAAAGATGCATGAGTTATTTGTATAACTGGGTTTCTAGGGAGGCTTACTTGATGGAAAAAAAGATAATTTATCTTCTATTTATTAAGGTAATGGTTGTCTCTTTATGCTGATATTGACACAGTAGTAAGCCTGACTACAGAGAAAGGACTTTATTGCTACATTCTCCAGGTTATTTGATTGGGTCTGAGTATGTATAGTTGAGAAGAGTTCCCGAATATCTATGTATGTCTTTGCATGTTGGAATAAGATTAAGTCCAGTGGGTTAAAAAACACAAACCATAGATCATTATATAATTGAGAGCTGTTATTTTGTTTTATCTTATATATGTAAGTATCTTTTTCTGGTGAAGACAGTGCATAAACCACAATGAACAGTCTTTTATCTTTATGCATTTTTGTATATCTCAGCATACTACTGTTTTTCCACTTGAAATACTGAGTTCATGGAGAGGACTACTGCTAATGTTTCAATGCAAAAATATTTTGGCTTTTTGGAATCATTGCACGAACATTAAAACTTCTGACTCTTAATACATCAAATGAGATAGTGCAAGTAATTGTGCAGTTGGTACTTAGCTTTTACATTAGTTTCAAAGATATATTCCTGCACATACATTTCCTACTGCTCTACTTGTTGTGCATTGTTGCCTAAAATATTAACTAGAAGGCAGCCCAACAAATATTGGTAACAACACACTCCATTTTTGTAAAACAATGTGCTCTCTGAGATCATGATGAACCTTAATAATGATGTAGGATTTGGCAGAGCTCATTAGAGCTCAGCATATGTGTTTTCTTGCTTTGACAGGCTATGTATTTAACTCAGGTTTTTAAAAATGTTGATATGTGAGGCATGATATGATTTATTGGATGTGGAGGCTTGTCATATTCTTTCAATGCAGATAACAGATTAGAGAATGATGCTGTATTTTAGCTCTGATAAGATTGTGATGGGACAAGGAAATGCCGAAAGCAGCATTTACTGTTGGGCTAGCAACAGGATTCAAATCAGGCTTGAAGGCAAGGACAGTAATAGGGACTGGAATAATTACTAACTTGGTTTCGACTTCAGGTAGCAGAACATGACATAGAATGGGAGTAAATGAAAGAAAAGGTCATGAACACATTGGTTCCTGTCACCTGTTTTTCATTTTCACAGTGATTCCGGTTGAGACATTAATGTCCTGACTCTGGATCCTTATATTGCTTCTGGGGAGTTCCCTGTCTCCATTTTCTTCTGCCTTATTTTATGGTTCTCTGTTGCAAGGGAGGTCTATCTGCAGTGCTGTCTTAGGGGAAAAGACACTGATTTTTGACATCACACACAGAACCCACTCTGCCATTTACTGCAGGCATTGAATAAGTGGTGCAACCTCTCAGGACCTTCTTTATTTGCAAAATGAGGGTGACAATAGCTAAACTGCAGAGTCGTTGGAATTATTAGAAACAACATATAGAAAGGGTTTAGTGTGGGGTCTGGCCCTTAGTTGGTTCTCAATAAATGTTCTTAGTAATAGTGGTAGTATTTAATTAAAATAATTGAACATGTACACATCAAAAGCAAAGCAATGATTCTTCATTGCACTCAGGCAGAATTCCAGAGTCCTTTGTTTTCCATTCTCTTGGACCCTAATTTGCTATTATATCTTTATTTTCCATTTAAAAAACCCTCAAGTTGTTTGCTTTCCACTTGGCAATAATATAATTACTCTGTTGTTTCCTACCTCATACAGGAATAATTTATCTTCCTCCTCCCTCAGCCTCTCTCTGTGCAGCCTAGGTCTGCTACCAGTTGGGTGACTATATCATCAGGAAAACAGCTACTCTGTAAAATAGGGCTTACAGGTATTCACTTGAGTTTTTGTGAATATTACATACAAGGTGCCCACTACAGGGGTCCTGTTGTTATCCATATCCTGCAAGGCACCATCTGTTTCCCTCTCACCTTTGCCCGGAGACTTTACCATCCTCAGATGAAGGGATGCAAGTACTCCTGAAGTTTTGTATCTTTTGTGACCAGTGTTGCTGTGTATCTAGTGCCATTCTTTCATTCTGAGTATTTTCATTTGTAAATATATTTGGGGTCCTTGATGTTGAGAATGGATCTTAACATAAGCAGGGCTAACATTTCCTGAGCACCAGACTCAGAGCTAAATGTGCATACAGATTTGTCTCATGCATCCTCTCGGTAACCCTTCGAGGGAGGCAGAGTTGCTAACACCAGCCCACTGGTGGGGCAGCAGAGGCACAGAGTTGAAGTGTCACCCTCTGGCAGACTGGAGAACTCAGATCAGTCTGATTTCCAAAGCCCAATGCTATTGCTTCACTGGTATACAGCTGCTTATTTTTCTTAGTCACTGTGGTTCCTATCACTGTACATGGTCCTAACCAGAACTCAGTAGGCTCTTTCTTTCTTTTTTTTTTTAATTTTTTTTTTAGTTTTATATGGACACAATAGCTTTATCTTATTTTTATTTATTTATTTATTTTAATGTGGTGCTGGTGATCCAACCCAGTGTCTCACGCATTCTAGGCAAGTGCTCTACCACTGAGCCCCAGCCCCAGTCCCTTTTTCTTTTTTTAACTAAAAAAAATGTCAATGGATATTTATTTTATTTATTTATGTGCAGTACTGAGAACTGAACCCAGTGCCTCACACATGCTTGCAAGCACTCTACCACTGAGCTACAACCTCAGCCCAGTAAGTGTGTTCTTCATACCATTTATCATCTGTTTGTGTATAAATCCTGGGCTTTATTTAAGAGTACTTGAAACAGATTGCTAGAGCTCAGTCTAGAAATGGAATCATGTTCAAGTTCACTTTAGAACATCCCCACTTTTGAAACAATGTTTTGAAATAGTGATCTATGGGAGACATTTAATTAAAAATTGTGACATGGATAAAATAGACTAGTGTGGCAAATACACTTGCACTTGTTGGGTTTCAAGAGAGCGGTCTAACAGCCAAGATTGGGCATGGAGTATAGGGAAAGCAGGTTCACATGAAGTCCTGGAGATATGATTTCATTCTTATTTTTTAGTTTCTTGATCAGTTTTA